TCGGACAGCGTTTGCTGCCGAACACGTGAGCGGGGCCAGCCCAGCCTGGGGGTTCAGAGGCGTAGGGGGAAGCCCTGTGAAGTCAGCCAGCCCATCCCCCGGGAACACAGCATGGCGCCCTGTGGAGCAGCGGTTCAGTCTCAGCCCTTTCCACACCATCAGGCCATGTGCCAACAGATAAAAACGGGGAGGGGGAGGGGCAGTCGTGACCCCCTTGGCTGAGACCCCATCCCTTCTCCAGTGCTCTTAACGTTCCCAGCAACCGAGCCTCCGCCCCTTCCCGGGAGAGGCCATGCCACTGTCTAGGGACCCCAGCGACTGGCCCTGCTCTGGGAGGAACCCACTTTAGAGGGCAGCGTATGTGATCATATCCCTCTCTCAGGGTACACCCCGAAAGGCTACGGGACCTACTACTGGTGCCAGCGCTCCGCCTCGGGGAGGTCTCTGTTAGCTCGGGTGGGCCGGGCCTGCATTTTTGCAGCGGGTGGAGCAGGGTTCTAGTCCCGCCTCATTGGCTGCTGCAGGAGGGTTTGTTACACCAGGGGAAATGGGCATGGCCCGTTCCCAGATTCCCCACCCTGCAGATCTCCTGGCCTGGGGGGAGCTGGCAGTGGTCACAGAGCTGTGCAGCGGTTTGGTGTCTCCCTGGCTTTCCCTTGTGACCCGATTCCTCCCTTGCTCTCCTTCCACAGGTGCCAGCGCCTGCCACGGGGGAGGATGGCTGTGACTGCTGAGGGCAAGGAGCTCATCCTGGCACTGGAAAGGAACCAGTAAGTATCCACCTTGGGACACGGGGGCTCTGCAGGACTCTAGCTGCAGGGTTGGCCCTGGATGCGTGCAGCAGGTGTCCAGGGGCGTCCGGGGTGGGGGTGTCTGCATGGACCACCTGGCCGTGCAAGGATTCGCCTCAGTGATGCTCTCGTGGATTGTGTCGCCGCTCAGCCACCAACGCTGTCGACTGTCCGGTCCCTGGTTCACCTGCCCATCGGCTCCCTCCCTCCTTCCCCTGCCAGCCTGGAACGTGCCTGGTGCGCTCCCTCCCTGCAGCGCTGGTGCAAACGCATGCTGGAGGTGTGGTTGCCCCGTCCTCAGCGCAGTCATTCACACAGCGGGAGCCGGGGTGAGCCGGAGTCGGTGGCATGTTACGATCCGTTGGCACTGGGTGTGAACGATGACATGCTGCCGGGGGGCTGGGCGTTCCTAGACACCCCTTCTCCCGGGGGCCTGCTCAGACCCACGGATGTGTGCCCGCTCTCAGGCAAGCCGCACGCGCCCTGTAGACAGTGGGCGACTTGCATGTGTTGGGCTAGGGAGCCGCTGCTGGCTCGCCATGGTTTCTCAGCGAATCACAGCCGGAACGCAGCGGTTCCTAAGCGGCGGGTTGCTTTGGTAGTGTCGGGGTGTGTGTGAGGGCTGGCCTGTCGGTTCTTCTCAGGGTGTTTGTGGGGGCTGGGCTGTGTGCCGTCCGTTGTTGCTGCAGGGTTGTTCGGCCGTCCACACTGGTTTGTTTTTACAGGGTTGCTCACAGGGACGGGGCTGAGCACCATGGCTTGTTATTGTAGGGCCTCTCAGAAGTCATCTGCTTTGATTGATTTCCTTCCCCCTGCCGTTTTGGAATTCAAAAAAGCTGTGAAACCATTAACCCCTTGATCTCCGTGGTGCGCCCAGCGCGGTAGTGTCTGCGGGCCCTGCTCGTATCAGTGAAGTTCGCCTCCCAGCAGGGGAGGGCAGTGCTTGTATTGCGCCACTGGGGAAACTGAGGCACGGGGAGGCTACGTGACTTGCCGAGGGGGAGCAAGGACTGCTCTGTGGCAAAGCAGAGACTTGAACTGAGGTCCCCAGAGTCCCAGTCAGTGCCGTAACCACACGCCCCCTCTTCCTCCTGTGCAGGGCTGGCTTCCCCCGCCGGTCGATAGAAATGCCTGCCCCTGAGAGCGTCCCAGTGACTCCGTTCCCTGTCCCCCTCTGACCCAGTGCTCCCCTGTGCTGGCTGAGTAACTGGGGCGGAGCGGTCCTGACGAGTTGCCCGCTGCTGAAAGCTGAGTTCTTTGGACTCTGCATGGAGCTCGGCGGGGGAGAGTTGGCCAGACTGTTTGGGTTTCAGCAGTCGGAGACTGCCAGGCTCCTGGGGCTCTCGCTGGCGGGAGGGGGGGTCAGTGGTGCTGGGGGCCCTGCTGGGACAGGGATTTGTTTGCAGATGGGCTGTGCCCTGGCAGGGCGTGAAAGCTCAGGCCAGAGACACCGTTTTCAGCTTCGCTCCTCAATGCAGCAGCAAAGGGGCAAAGCAGTAAATGATCAGTTAGATCAAGCAGTGAAAGAGGCCCGGGGAGAGAGGTCTGGGGTGAGAGACGGGGGAAAGAGAAGCCCAGAGAGAAGGATGTTGGGGAGCAGGGTCTGGGGAGCAGGAAGGGAATGAGAGAAGCACAGTGGTGAAGGGAGCAGAGAAGCAGTAAGAAATGCTGTACTGAATTGGGCCATCTGGTTCCATATCCCACAGCCCGGTGGGCGAACCGGCCCGGCCCCCCGCCGGCCT